GTTATTACTCAAGGCGCCATGCCCTCCATCCGTAGTAAAAGCAGGCAAGTAGGTAATAGGTTCGAGATTCTCGCGGCATCCCTGCAAAACGTAATTATGTTAATCATCATTACCGGTTTTAATGACATAGTTCATAGTGGCAGGATGAATTGGAAAGAATGACATCAGGGAGACGCTCTCACATTATCAAGGTCAATGTAAATACCGCCAAAGTGGCGCAGTGCAAAATACCGAATCACATCGACCCGCTGAATAGGAAACTTGTAATTGTCGTAGGTGGATAAGAACCAATCAAAGTTGTCTTCAATGAACTCGCGGGAGTCTTTGATGGTCCACAGCTTATACTCCCAATCAGGATGGAGGTCGATGCAGGACTGTTGCGCCGCTGCCCAGTCTTGAGGCAGAGTGATGACGGTGTTCTCCGGGTCAGTCCAGTTGTGGTAGACCTGGTGTAAGATCTTGGGAACGACGGGGACGGCAGTGTCGTTTCGGGCCTTTCGAGCAATGGAAGCGTCGAGTATCTCGCGTTGCGTGATAAGTGTGCCGGAATGTTTCTTGAAGAAACCGAACAGATTGGCAAAGTGGTAGAGGCGAAGAGCGAGGTGTAAGACGAATAGAACCGACAGACCTATGATGAGAAGCTTGAGTGCGCGTCTGGCACGAGGTGAGTGTGGCAGCATCGTGTCATAGGCGCCTCGGTCTGTCAACGGAATTGTTCAAACATGGAGTTGGTCCCAAGTCTGGATAAGCTTTGAACTCATCTCTAGGCAATTTGTGTCTGCCTGGTCTTTGTCTGACTGGGTCTTAGTCTGATTGTTGGTCTTCCCTGTGCCGCTCCCTGTGCCCATGTGGCTCTCACCCTACCATATTACTGGCTTAAATTTGAAGCTTACGTGCGTATGCGAGGGCCAACTACAATGGGTCCTACAAAGATCTACATTAGAAAAAAGGGGCGGGACAGGAGATGATGACGGCAATTATTATATCTCTATGGTCCTTTTCTGGTTTGAAAGCCATGTTGGCCAAGCGTGAACTACACTACTATTACCACGGTTACCACGAAAATTGCAACTGCTTTTTCAGTCAAACAGAAGACCTCATAATTGCTAATAATAGGGCCCGATCTTAGGCGATCTCGTAGCGTAATCGCACTAGCCCATAATTATAGCTGTAGTCGACCCGTTGTTGGTATAAGTCTCAATCATCACGGTAGAGCGCAATTAGTGAAATGGTGACCGAAGACCCCAACACCAATCATTATACGCCAGCAAAAAAATAAACAGAAGAAAAGAACCGCGACCAGGCAAAAATAACAACGGTTTCGAATGAAAAAATTAGCTAGTTGGAGAGATCATGTTGGTAGGTAGTATCATCACCGTGATCGTCTCCCAGGACTGTTCGCGCTAGTGGATGCCACCGGCAGTTTACCTAACCTAGGTGCCCAGGTAGCGGCCCATATCCGCATGCAGGTAGCAAAAACATAGGTAGTGGATTGGTATGCCATATACCGTTTTCAGTTATCTATACCACCCTCCCCACGCCTAACTAATGGTTTGTGAAGGTACAGTATCTACTTGCATCTATAATCCCACTATGTAGGCAGAACTACACGTTTGTACGGATCTGTACAGTAACACATATATACCTCATATAAACGCTTCAGCTTGGATTAAAACCTACTTTTATACTAGTCTGCTATAGATTCAGCCGCTGCACCAGGCAGCAGAATTAAGATATAGAAATAAGTGGGAAGGGCGGCATGATTAACCGAAAAAGCGTGGCAGGCTAGCCGTATATGTCTCGCATTTCCATATCAAGCGTAGCGGCGCCCATATTTAGGTGCCAAGACGTGTGAACTAATGGAGCTCCGATGCAGCTCGGAAGATACCACTCTCGCATAGCAAAAGCTGCAAACAAGCCGACCGTGTACTAGTATATTATAGTGCAAACTGTTATCATCTTTAGTCGCGCTACATAATCTGCTAAGTAGCACACAAAAGAAAAAAAAAATTTATGTACAATTTCCCTCTCCCTATCTAAGTGGTTATGCTAGGTGTACATGTTGTATTTTATAGACAGAGTCTACACTACATCATAAGTCCCAGCATGTCCAGCGGGGAAGGGTGGCACGAGTAGGTCGGATGCAACAACGTACGCTGTCTGTCCCGATGGGTAGGATTATACTATTATATGTACAGCTGAGCCACTTAGATGCATAGGGCTACTTTGGAAGGAACTTTTGGGTTCCAGTTACAGCATACGGTCGGTATGTCTATGACCATACTTGAAACATGGCTGTTACTCGACAATTCTTTTCTTAATATCTCAGTGTTACGATATCACAACTGAACCTGTAATTACTTGGCATGCACCTTAAGAAAAGAAGCAACAGCTATATAATTAGAGGGGTCGTATATGCTAGGACAGGTTTATACGCTCTTCGCGCACTACTTGAGCAAGTTCATCGCCTATACCCCGGCCCGTTACCTTTTCCCATCTCATCCCTTACCAGGTGAGAAAACACTACTAGACTGAAGCAATAACGTATACTATACTACTACTACTACCTGAGAGAAGGTAGTTCCTAGCGCAACTCTAAGGTTATACATATCTAGTAGTGTATAGGTGCAACGAAGTGGTGTCACACATACTTGAACATACGAGTGCAAGACTCTGCGAGGGCCTGTGCAAAGCTTCAGCCTCCGGCTTACTCATTTCTCTCCTGATGTCCTATGGTAGTGCGCCGAAATATCGGACATAAGAGCGAATCCGGACCTGTAGGTCGGCAACTAGGCTTTTTCAACATATGGTCTGTAGATCTTGCGCTTAGCAGAAGAAGAGGTGGAGACCCTATAGCCCCCCCGGCACCCTCGAAGATTATTAATGACCTGAGCACTCTTGCAAGTTCATATCACAAGCTCTCGTTACAATGAAAGAGGAACCCACTAGCAGATATCATGAAAAGTTTTAATAGTTTGAATGTAAAGTTCTCATATATGTTATAGAGGTAGACATAGGATGATACTCGTCGGAAGAAAAATCAGCCGCACCAATATTTGACCCAAACCCTTGACTTTTTTCTAGGACTAGTGCAATTGGCTAGGCAGAGAGCTGCATGTTAAAATCTCCAAACCACTAAGTTGGCAGGTCTATTAATATAGTCTTTTTATTGTGTAACTGCTTCAAACTATCCCACTTGCGAACTCAAAGGCTTCAATTCTCAGAAACAACTCGCTTTTTTCGATTTACCCTTAACTGTGACATCATCTGATGAATTTCCGGAGTACTAGGTATCAGAGAGTGTGTGATATCTTGATCGACATTGTCAGGATCCCATATTTGGAAGTAAGCATGGACTTTTGTTGTTGCTCGAAGGTCTAAATACCTTCGTAAGCGAGTCCCTGGCTATATCCACACAGGTTCTTTGTTCTAAGTAAGGTATTGTAACAGACATGCTACCACTTTTGCCTTCAAAAGTTGATAGATTGGTTGGGGCTGATTGTTGGTTGTAGTGGATTGCTTCGATCAGCAGACAACCATAGTGACGTTCTTATGGGACGATGGGAGCGCGGGAGTGCGGCAGGCGTATCTATGACGCCGAACTCTGGCTGGTGAGGTTGGTCAACTGCTTCAGAATCACCAATAATGAGTTAGAACTGGCGGGCTTTTGGGCGAAGCGGGAGAGACTTCAACTATAAATATGAGCCTCTCTTCCCATCAGACTCCCCAATACATCTAGTATCAACCAAAGCACTTCCAACACAGATTATCTATATACCACCAGCTTTCAAACATCGTCGAGAAGAACAGATTACCTCAAATCCCATATTCAATATGCGTGCCAACATCATCTCTTTTCTTGCCATCCAATTCCTCGCTTTGTCTGGAGTCCAGGCATACGTTACCCTGGAACTTTACCAGGACAACGACTGCCAAACCCCAGTCCCTGGGACTGGCCAGACCACCGTCAACTCCGGGAGCTGCGATACCAATGTGGGCACCGGCTGGTCCTCAGCTAAGATCCTTGACAACAAAGATTCTCCCGCCGGCACCTTGACTTTTTACACCAAAAACAACTGCGCAGCAGGCCAGCAGAAGCACGGTTATAGCTCGGCCAACTTTGCTTGCCTGAACAACTTTGGCTTCGTGGCCAACGCAGCTGGCCTTGCTGGTTAACGAATCACACGAGACACCAGGTATGAGTGATAGATCTCAATACACTAACCACGTTGTTCTAACAAATTCATAGCGACACTGAACACACTATATAGTAGCGTGTTAAGTAGCAGAAGAAGAGAATAAGGGGTCGCATTGATGATGTGATACATGTTGCTCTTCTCTGTATTCGTTCTTTCATGATGTTACCTTATTTGGAGACTGAGATGACATCTGCTGGGGATAGTCATGTCTTCGTTTAAGGAAACACGAAAGTAGTGTAGGGTCCCTTTCTGGCTACTCAACTTAGCCAAAAGCAATATAGTCAATCGTTACAGCACCGGTCGAACCAGCAAGCAAAGAACATGCCAATCATGATTTAATGCCTCGCAATGTGCCCAAATTAATGAAGCCTGATACTCTTAGTTTAGAGTATCTCATGAAATTCCATGTCCATGATCCCGTTATACTTGATATAGAGGAAAGGTAGAGTCCAGGTGCCACCAATTACCTGTCCAGGCCTCGAATAGGATAATGTGTAGACCTAGTCGCTATTAGTTGCGTGGTTTAGGGTGTTGCCCCTACACGACTCTGGACTTCTCGTGAGTTTAAATAGCCAGAAAGTATGTTTCATTATTTTCACAATTATAGGCACGCCTCTATGCTCGCAACTCTACCTCTGACACAATAAATATCGCAAACATGATGAGTAATACTAGTGATGAATAATAGTCTATTAAGTGTTCTTTCAAGCAACTCCACCGAAAGGGGAGGAAATGAAGCGGAAAATTGCGAAAAATTTAATCTCCCCTGGAGAGGCACGAAAGCACTAGATACCAAAAATACTCCCCCGGACAGGCTTGAACTGTCAACCTCCTGATGGGCTATTTCAGGTAATTCCTGATTCAGTTAATTCCTGATTCGTGATTCCTGATAATAACAGTCAGACGCGCTAGCCAATTGCGCCACGGAGGACTAGCTGATCCCTGCATGGAGTTGGCGGTTAATATAGCGACCAGCCAAAAAAAGACGCAGAGTAGCGGAAGGTGTTCTCCATGAAATCACAACATACCAAAAAATTTGGCTAACACGGACAATAACTATTCACGCTCAAGGGATATAACTATAATTTCTTAGGTAAGTGTTGCAGGCAAAGCTAGTATTTAGTAGTAAGCAGCGAATTATAATAGGTGTTGCGACGATCAGTAGCGCCGGAACCGCACTTGCACATCCAAAGTGTGAAAACTTTGAAGCCTGAAGTGGTCTCGCAAATGGATCAGCCAAAGCTAACAGGTCAAAGAGAGCGATCATAGCTTAAATCGCAATTCTTCCTTGCGAACGAGATGTCGAGGAGACCTAGTAATCTAAGTAAGAGCTTAGGAGACGCGGAAACTAGAAATAGGTCATCCTTATTCACATGATTTCATATAATATACCGCGACACTAATAAAAGAGCGAGGTCGGGACCAAAATAAATAAAAGAGGGCGAGGCTGTTCGGATATATGATCTGTAGATCCGTTACTTCGCTGAATAAAAGAAAGGGCCTTCGTAGCGGTTCGAATATTTCCTCGGGCCCTTGTTATAGCAGTAGACAGTGTAGATCCCGAGAAAAGCTTAATAATGTGACTATCTCAGTTAGGAAACCAAACGGAATGCTTGTTTTGACTGCGAGACTCCGTAGTCTAATCAGTTCTCCTCAGGACCCTATTATGCTAAAGATGATGTCATATTAAAAGTCGAGGTGGTGAGATGGCGATACAAGACCTCTTCTACCTAATTATTGTCGAGTCAGGCTAATTTGCCCTTTTTAACGCGCGATGTGTAAAGTCGGTTCTATTCGAAATTAGATCGCCGCTGCGTGCAAAGGAACACAGTAAGCTGCAGGTCGGAACCAATATGAAGCAGCAAGATAGCCCATCTCCAATTATGACGAGCACATGATTGAAGATCACCCCTGGTGTGATGTAGAACACGAACAGTTTACCCCAAGCCACGTGTCCTGCCACGAGGTGGCATTTCAATGACATCGGACTCATGAAACTCAGACTTGTGGGCAGTCAACTACTGGCGTGAAGGAAGATCGGCGTCAATATTATGTTAAAACCAAAAAAATCCCACCCGGTCGTTCCGGTTTATCTTGCTTGCTGTATTGTTCGTCTTATAGGCCCGGCGTTATAATAGCCGGAGGTATCGGATCCCAGCCCTTTCTACACGCGCGAGATTGCCGGTAGATACTCGCGTGTCTTTCCTCAGCTTCTCATTGCCGATCATTTGACGAAAGGTTACCTTCACCGTCTCCTCGCGTAATTCTAACTGCTTACGCGAAGCGACCAGTTGGGTGGCAAGGGTCTAAACTTGGTTGTCTCTGGAAACCACTGACCTACGGTAGCTTTGTCCCCATCTTCATTGGAATCGGAATAGTATAGCTAGTGGTAATATTTGTCTTTGTTTTTACTCCGAACGCTTACTTACGCAGACTCACGCCATATCCCCCTTGGCGCCAGCAGGTTCATGGATCCATCTAACGAACCAAAAAGGCACTATCTTGGCAAAAACCTGGGACGGTCATGTTACTCGCTGAGACCTGCCGGAAATTTCTTGCTTAAAACATATTCTGTGGCTATTAGTATATATGGGGTGACGTATCAAAAGTTCGGGCGAATATAGACTTTCTTATCATATTTACTCTACATTGCTCGACTCTAGAAATAGATGGGCTCGTTTGTTGGCATCTTATATGAAGGCTTATATAAATTGTGTTTCGGTGACCTTTAGGTATTTTTCATACGTTAAACAAATCTAGAATCAACAGCGCTCTCTCGAACCCTGTCATGAGTCACTGTGTTGAATTTTGTGCATGTGACTAACTGGATCCCGAATCAGTGTTCCCAAAAACCAACAAGCAGCACGGACAACCACCGCAGGATTTACATGCGACTTACGAGAAATTCTCGAATTCTCATTGCCATAAGGCATAGAAGAAAAAAAAGAGACTTCTGTATATATATAGCTAGGTTAGCCTCACGAAGGTTTCAGAGACCCTCGTGCAACAAAGAGTCTATTATTGCCTACTACATACTAGGGTTCATGACACACATATTTGGGCCTATGTGCATGAGGATTATAGTCAAAACCCTACTATTGCGCACGAAGTCATTAAGCAAGTGTTGAATCAGAATCTAGTTCGAACAACGCCTAAAGCAAGACGATTTAGACTATGGCTTAGTCATCCTATTACAACGAGACCACTACAAATTTACTACGCATTTGTAAACTATACTGCTTAGTTAGTTAATTATCCTAGTAGTCTCATTTACCTCCTTAGGAAGGATTGAGGCTAATAGATTATATGTGGTAGTAGGTTCTACTCTTGCTAATTCGTAGAGAAGAGGCTGGGCAGTGACTCAGGCAGGTTAGTTGGATTCAGGGTCAGAATGAAGGTAGGTAGACCGTATGCATCCAACTTATATATATAATAATCACTGATCCGATTAGGAAACCCCTTGATGAAATAAAATGCAATCATATATCCCACCAGAAACAAATAGACCAACGTGATGACGAGTAGTAACAAGCGTGCCTCCGTCCGCTGCATTTCCTCCCCCCTTTTCTGCCCTCGATCCCCCCCCCCCCCTCACCCCCTTACATATATATATATACGCGTTATAGGGGTCTGAGTAACTTACCCCCTTGTCCACTGTAATTCGTACTGTTTCAGCAGGGCCGGGTGTTAAAGGTTATATAGGGGCATAAAATATTATTATAATTAATTCTCAGTTGTCCATGTAGTAAGTAGTGTGGTTTTCTGAGTTGTAAAGATGTAACGCTAGCTATTTTCAAGGAATACAACGCAACATGTCTTTTCAATCAAGTCACACAAGCTGGAAACAGGGTACATTGATCGTATACAAGACTTGGCTATATATCTTGACACTAGAAATGCATGTATGCAGCCAGTGAGAAACTTCACAAAACATAACGAGGAGGCTAACTCTTTTCAGACGGAAAATAAAGAGCACGGTTTCTTCGGCATGTTCTTATTTAATAAGTGAATGGGAACTGAAATATAGGGAATGTAGAAACGTAGATACGTACCTTGAATACATAGTACCTTGATCTCACAAGCGTTCTAGCGCAAGGGCTACTACCCGGCCGTTATCCGGTGTTGTTCATGCTACAACATAAACTAGGTTTGATTAGCAATTATTTAGTGACATCATTTTCATAGCTTTGTGATTTTTGAGTTAAGGCTTGTCTTAGATGACTACAAAAATGTACGCTGTTTGGAGCAGGACGACTGGTCAAGCAGTTTCCCTTCAGGTGCAATGATGGCAACTGAACTACCATAGTTGATGTGTTTATATATCACAGTTGCTGGTACAAGCTAACAACATCAATACAGCTGGCGTTGCTGAGCATTCTTATCGGATAATCAAGACGTTTGAACTAGAAACTTCTAAGAGAACATGGAAACAATGTACCCAGCAGCATCAAGCTGGTCACCCCATCGACAAACTGGCTAATACTCGGAGCAGGTAACTGTGAACAGGAAATCGACGCATGGCTCAGTGAATATTTTCTTCCAAATTGTGCGGCCCTTTCAGCCCCCCCCCACCGTCTATATAAACAGTCTTTTTCTCCCACAGTCGACTTTCTTCTCTTCTCTCTCTCTCTCTCAGCACCCACAACAGCACCCCCAGCACAACTTCTTTGCACTACCAAAAATAAGTCTGGCAACTCTTATGTCTATGGTAGCTTATACTTGCCTACATTTTCTGAAGTTACACTTAGTAAGTTACAGTCAACCACCCTTCGCTCTGGTTATGAACAACCCAGACAACAGCCTTTTCTAACAGTGACAGGCTCTGCGCACCCTAGACCTAGATCGCTGTTGTTACAGTTCTTGATTATATAGTTGCTACTATATACACACTTCGACGCAACGCAAGACCTTCTCAGTTTCGCACACCGGTCACCCAACACGGCACAAAGACCTACAACAATGGCGCCGCCTACGAACGACGAGCTCAATGCTCGTAGACAGATGATGCGCCAGGCACTGGCGGGACTGGATCCCCAAGGAACTACTCCCCCTGTCCTTCGTGACCGTAAGTTATTCTCCAAATCGGTTCTCACCCTATTCAGTTACACAATCCCCATGAGAAGCCCTTCGCTTCTTTCAGCACTTTACACATCTTAGCTACAAAGCCAGCTGACTAACCCTCGGTGTCCCAGTAATCATCGAGCTGGGAGCCCGCCATCGCCAAACCGGAGGCGCGATTCTCCAAGCTGCGATGGCGCCGCCTCCACAGGTCATCCAGCCTCAGCCAGCGCAGGGTCAGCAAGGACAGGCCCAGCAGGGTCAGGCCCAGCAAGGGCAGGCTCAACCGGCCCAAGGACAGGGTCGTGGACAGGGAGCTGGCGGGCAAGGCCAGCAATCCGCCTCCTCTTCCACTACCGGTTCCGGACGAGGCGCCGGAGCCCCAGCCTCTAGCGGTCGTGGTGGAGGGTCATCGGGCCAGCAGTAAGCGTATTGGTATCTGCCGAGGGACCGTCGAGTGAAGAATGCGACTCGGAGGATTTCATGGCTATCGGCACGGTAACACGCATGGTATGGAACGGTACGATGGTAGCACACTCTGGGCAAAGTATGCCTGGATCTCTGTAGTGGGCGGTATGCAATGATGACTATTGCTGCGCAGAGGTCCTAATCTTGATGATGCTACTTGTCACACGGATTCACGTGACCACTTCGAGCGGGGTAGTGAGACATTCTGTGTATATATAAAGCTGGTCAAGGCCCAAAGTCCTCCCAAGGAAACTTTCCTTCCTTAAGAGCCTTTGACGCCATAGCCAATTATTAGAACATTAGGAATGAAGCTATTCCCAAGCCCAGTACAACTGCCCTTGTGACACTACTCGACTTCCATCTTGTCACAAGGCATAGAGACAAAGAGACTTCTGTATATGTATC